AGGTTCTGGTTCTGGTCGGGGTGTGTGAACTGGGTCTGAAGGTTCTGGTTCTGGTCGGGGTGTGTGAACTGGGTCTGAAGGTTCTGGTTCTGGTCGGGGTGTGTGAACTGGGTCTGAAGGTTCTGGTTCTGGTCGGGGTGTGTGAACTGGGTCTGAAGGTTCTGGTTCTGGTCGGGCTCAGACAGCTGCCACATGCCTGTAGGCTCAGCTTTGTTCTATTCCTGCTGCAGGACTAGAGTCTTAATAAAGCAGCTGAGCTGAAGCTGCTGGAAGGTTCTGGGGGCGGGGCCTGCAGCAGGGGGTGGGGTCAGGCTGTATAAAAGCAGCAGGGACAGACTCAGCAGCACATCTGAAGCAGACCTCCAGGATGTTGTGTCCCAGTGTCTTCACGGCGGCGGCCCCCGCCCACATGAGGCCCCTCCTGGACCCGTACTGGCCCATCCGCAGCCTCTGGCCCGAGAGCCGGCCGCTCTGCTTCCAGCTGGAGGAGATGATGATCCGCCACCTGCAGGAGGTGAGGCAGAGCCTGGAGTWCATGGAGAGGCTGCATCAGAGGATCTTTGAGGAGATGGACCACAGCTCCTTCACGGGGGGCTTCAAGCCCATCTCCTTCCAGGAGCTGGGGGGGGATGGCGGTGGCTTCGCCCTCAGCCTGGACACCACCCAGTTCTCCCCCGACSAGCTGTCCGTCAAACAGGTGGGCAGGAAGCTGAGGGTGAGCGGCAGGACGGAGCAGAAGCAGGAGGATGGGAGGGGCTCCTTCTCCCACCGGTGTCAGGAGTTCAGGCAGGAGTTCCACCTGCCGGAGGGCGTGGCCCCCGAGACCGTCACCTGCTCGCTAGTGGGGGGCCGGCTGCAGATACAGGCCCCCCGAGACAAACCCAAGACGGACGGCATAGAGAGGATCGTCCCCATCCACGTCAGCTCCGCCCCGGCCATCACTTCCTGCTCATCCACGGCCACGCCCTCTGAGAAAAACTGAACAGAGTGAGACGTCTCACCCAATAAGCGCTCTTTGTCTGCTCGTTTTCTGACAGAGCAGCAGCTGTTTCCTGTTTCACCTCAAGATGTTTAAACTGCTTCATCAGTCAAAACTTCTCTTCAATCTTAACGGTTCATTTCTTCATAAAATATTTCTATTGATTTTCCTTGAAACAAAAACAAAGTTTAAACCAACAGAAGTATTTTCATGACTTTTACATCTGTTAAAAGTTTATAAATATATAAAACTCTGATAGTGTATTAGTTTATAGTTAAAGTAATCCCTGTGTATAATGGTGAGATGTAAGTTTACACGTTAATTTTCTGAACCTCATCCTGATTGTTTCACTGATGGAAACAGGAAAACTGCAGTTTTACACTTTCTGTAAAATAATTCAGAATAAAAGTAATTTATTTACAAACTGCTCCTCAGGTTGTGTCTTTTTTTAATTAAATACAATAAAAACACATTTAAGAGACGTGTGACACCGGATGGACTGCTCCACGTCAACACAAAGTAAAGAGCAGAAACACTTTGTTCTGATGGACAGAAGAGCACAGACGAGTTCAGTTGAGGCTCTTTTTAATGGTAAATATCTTACCTGTCAGGTGGCCAGCTGTGGTGAAGCTGATCCTGTAGAGAAGTGTCAGGGACAGAAGAGCTGATGTGGCTTCATGCTCTCAGGTTTTAACCAGCACCGCCACTTCCTGCCAACATTACACACACCTGAGGCTTCATCAGGTGCTGCTGAGTGGGCGTGTACAGAACCTGAGGCAGAACCTGAGGCAGAACCTGAGGCAGAACCTGAAACCCTTTTTTTTTTGGACAAGCTTTAGCTTTTAGCACTGCTACCTTGTTTATTAAAAATCCTGAACAGACTCAGCTCCTTCACATTATATTAATAACAAACAGGAAGTTGTTAAATTAGCTTTAGCAAACAAACATGTTGTATGAGATTAGACTGAAATTRGCTTTTAGCTGTTGTTCCAAACAATGTCAGATTTTTTAAAAACTTTAGCTGCTTGCTTTGAGCCTTCGCAGTGAAAAACAGCTCCACAACACAAACACATGGTGGTAAATTTACAGAAATTATAAAAATCTAACAGTAAAGTAGCCACAACATAATGCAGATAGTCAGTCTGTCCACATTCAAAATCTTTCTGATGCATTTAAGAACATCTAATGTTGCCTTCAGCTGAACTGAAAAATTCACCTTTAGCACTTTTAAATCTACATGATGATTGTCTTTGAGGGTTAGAATCGTTTTTAAGACCACTGCTGCATGTCAGCAGGATGATAACAGGGTGTTAGCTGCACGTTAGCAGGATGATAACAGGGTGTTAGCTGCATGTTAGCAGGAAGATAACRGGGTGTTAGCTGCATGGTAGCAGGATGAAAACAGGGTGTTAGCTGCATGTTAGCAGGATGATAACAGGGTGTTAGCTGCATGTTAGCAGGATGATAACAGGGTGTTAGCTGCATGTTAGCAGGATGAT